CCAGTTCAGTTGGAGCATTTCATCTGTGACAGTTCAACTGGAGCAGTGTCATCTGTGCCAGTTCAACTGGAGCAGTTCATCTGTGACAGTTCAACTGGAGCAGTTCATCTGTGCCAGTTCAACTGGAGCAGTTCATCTGTGCCAGTTCAACTGGAGCAGTTCATCTGTGCCAGTTCAACTGGAGCAGTTCATCTGTGCCAGTTCAACTGGAGCAGTTCATCTGTGTCAGTTCAACTGGAGCAGTTCATCTGTGCCAGTTCAACTGGAGCAGTTCATCTGTGCCAGTTCAACTGGAGCAGTTCATCTGTGTCAGTTCAACTGGAGCAGTTCATCTGTGCCAGTTCAACTGGAGCAGTTCATCTGTGCCAGTTCAACTGGAGCAGTTCATCTGTGTCAGTTCAACTGGAGCAGTTCATCTGTGACAGTTCAACTGGAGCAGTTCATCTGTGTCAGTTCAACTGGAGCAGTTCATCTGTGTCAGTTCAACTGGAGCAGTTCATCTGTGCCAGTTCAATGTAGGACCGCCGACGGGTCGAATGCTTGCCATTCCCTTCCACCTTATTTAGTTCTCTTGAACCTTCTGCCACGCGCGAACCGAAGAATCCTTCGCAAGCAGTGACATACGGAGTGTATATATACACACACGCACGACCGCGCACACACACACACATGCACACGCCAGCATATGCCAAGTATGGACTTGTGACACTTTTGGCTGTGCCTGCCAGCCAGGTTGTGCTGTCAATCTACTTTGATCCCCAGCTAATTGTTATCGTCACTCCCAACTTGCAGGCATTTTTTTTAAATAGGGCCTGGCTCAAGCAGTTTATATTTTCGTATTTGGCAAGTTGCCGATAAAATGGTCTGAGATTTATTGTGAGTCTAAGCGCGGTCAGCAATGAGTAGGACATGAGCGAGAGTGCTGAGTGATTTGACATCGGGTGTAAAATACTGCAGGTTGTGATGAGATTGGCGTATGGATTTCAGAGTTTTTCAGATCAACTCATCGTGCAAGCAAGAGATGGATGGTTCCAGCATTACAGGACAGTGAGGAATGGTGCCAATTTTTTGGGGAGGGCTTCGTCCATTGGTGGATAGACCATGGTTCATGATCAGGGAAAATCATGGTTATGGTGTGACCTGATACCATTATCAGAGTCGAGAGTCAATTAATTATTCGTATGATTTGGGGAATAATTGCCTCTCGTGCCATTGTCTTCGTAACCAGCACTCGAAAAATAATATTCTCAGACCCTTTTGACCCCCACCCCTCCCCACGTCCCAAAATCTCACCCCTATAACCACACACCCCCCTCATCGCTCCCTCTCCTCCCCGTGACCCGTGACCCCCATCACCCCTCTAACATAAACCATACGAAGACAAAGATCCCCCGTATAGTCGTAACAGACTGTTGGGGCAAGTGCTGTTATGTGAGCACCTATGAAGGCCGGCACGGCATACGAGGGGGTGGGTGGCCAGCACCACGCCCGGCCGTCTTTGTCTCTCCAGTGCCGATGTTTACACACCGCACAAGGTACTCATTTGAGGCTGAGTAGACCTGGGGGAGGCTCAGGACCGGTTCAGATAATCGTCACTGGTGTCGACCGTGAGCGGGAATCAAACTCGGGTCGCCGGCTTCGCTGCGCAGCGCGCTAACCACTGCACTACCGCTCCCCAACCTGACGGACACACACACACAACACACACTCTTACATGCACCATCGCAGCGAATTCCACACCACCCACCCCACCCCTTTATCGCATCACCGCCCCCCCCCAACTGCCCCAGCCCCTCGCCCCTGCCTTGTTTGGAGATAGAATAAATGAGAGCTATAATTAAAATCTCAGAGGCATGCGTCTTGGCGCTGGTTGCGCGTCTCGGCCTTCATCCCCACGCGTCCTCCGTTCACCCCGAGGTGCTGCGGCCATCGCGAGCGACGTGCTTCGGGTCAACCACCGACATCACCCGCAGGGATATCCACCGCTTCATTTCAGCCGCCACAACGGTGTGGACGCGCTGTCTCGCGGCGAATGATTTTGGCCACGCCACATCCACGCAAAAACTTTGTCCTTAGCCTGTTCGTAAGGCTGTAGCAATACGGGGCCACGGTAATGTGTGATTGTTATGGGGCGAGGGGGGGTATGCATTCCTTGTACTCTCGTGGTAGTGCCTTACGCCGATATTCCCTGCACCGGCCTAGAGGCGTTCCGGAAAATATCGGGTGAGAAAAACGGTGATATCGCGGTCAACTGAAGTAGCATCACTTTCAACTGCAGTAATATCAACGTTAACTGCAGGAATATCATATTTCAACCGCAGTAATGTCGCTTGCAACTGCAGTAACATCACTTTCAACTGAAGCAAAATCTATTTCAACAGCAGTAACATCACTTTCAACAGCAATACTAATTATGCCATTACACGTATTGTAAATAATACAGTAAAAATGTATACAAATATTACTGATACTTGCCACTATTAGTCGTACATTTCGGGTTATATTAATACTAGTGCTCAGGAAGCCCGAGTCTCAATATTATTTTTCTGCCACACTGAGATACAGTACTTGGATTCGTGTGGAAGGGAACTGGATACAACCCACCGGGCATACGAAATCTATGCACGGATGCATTCAAGGTTCCACTGCTAAGAATGCCATCTTCTGGCCTCCTCACGGCACAAGCCCACAACATCCAAAGTATTCGCAGGAAGTCTCCCATCCAACGATTATCCGGGCTCCAATGCTTGCTTAGCCACCGAGATCCGTCGAGATCCGGGTGCATTCGGGGTGAATCGTCTTGGAGCCAAACTTCTGAGTGAATGTTTTTTTACGGGGCCGCTGGTAAACTTTAAACATTTCGCTTCAAGGATGCCTCGCGATCTTCCAATTGCCGGGAGGTGCCTGATTTCGTTATCGGATCTGTTGAGCCGCGTCGAAATTCCACATGTGGCCGAGCTAAAATTAAACTTAACACGGTCACTGAAGGCTTTACGACTAATTGGTGGCCTCCTCGCTGAGGTGGTTGTGATGATGATGATGACGACGACTGCATATGATTAGATGGTGATTATTTTCGTGCTACGGTTGTGTATAATTGATCGCGATGCTTATAGATACTTGATGATGATTGCATTTAATAGACAATGATGCAGATATGTATATGATGATTCTAATAGTTAATTCATGGTGATGAGGATTAGACTTAGCTGATCATACAATTGATGAAGACCGATATAATGATAATATATGCATTTTATTATTACGATTCCATTTAATAGATTATGATGATATCACTTAACATACGATCTGCCGATTATGTGATAGATATCATCATAATTCCACATCCCAGTGGCAGAGACGAGATTATCCTTAACACAGCCAACTCGCTGGTTTGGCAACTGCTGTAATCGATGCACCCCTCAGCAGCTACCGATCACGATGGTTATTGGGAGTAACCCGTCCCAAGATCTGCGTCTGAAGCTCCGCTACTGCACGAGCGCAGGAATAACAACAACAACAACAAACAAACACATCGCACGGGCATGCCCCGCGACAAAACGCGCCCGACAGAGACGCGTCGCCTCTTAGCGAAGGTCCCTTCCGGATGCGCGCGCCTTAGCCCTGGGGTAGGCAAACCGCCAAACAAAAACATTCGGTAGTTTGAAAAAAATAAACTCCCAATATTTCAAGAGGCGCAATGCACGCGTAAATACGAGACGGCGATTGTCCTTAATAAGAATACAAAAACGGTCACGATGCAGTTTGTAAAGAGCCGCATTAGACTCCGGCACCGCGGGTTTCCGACCGCTGTCTTAGACCGAGCAGACACCACGCCGATAAACAAACCATTTGCCGATGCTTCGTTGGCGGTGGGGCACGATCACAGTTAGCAACAAAACAGTCGCTCAACACTCGGCCATAATACCGCGGCCTTCAACGGAAAATAATGAAACCGAAATAATAGGCGACGTTTCGGACAATGACCCTTCTTTCTCACAGCACACAAATCATTATTTAAAATCACGAAAGGCCATCATTATTTTGTTGTCCTTTCACGGCACTGCGGATCGCCACTTCCGCCTGGGACTGCGTGGCGCCCAGAGATCTGCGGATCCAGAATCGGGACTCCTCGGTCACCTCCAGAGCCAAACACCAAACCTGATGGACGTCGTCCGCGAACCCCGAAGGGACTGCTGCCGACGAATGTTATTAACTATTTTTTTTATAGATTCAACGCATGTGAGATGCTGTGACGCGTGATATGCGTGCAACACACACCGGCGTGCCTGTCCATCTGTCTTTCACTTGTCCGCCCTTTGTCTCACTCTGCTTTCTCAATCATCCTCTTTTTCATTTCCTCTTAGCCCTGTCTCACACTGCGTCTCTCCGTCTGCACTCTCCCATTCATCCTCTCGCCTGTCTCTCATTCTACCCTGTCACTCATTCCCTGTCATCTGTCTCTCGTTATCCGTGTCTATCTTATCGACACCGTCATTTTCATTCTCTCTGTTATTCATTCTCTTGTGTGTGTCTCCCATTTTCTGCGTCTCATTTTCTCTGTCATTCTCTCGTCTGCCTCTCCGTCTGTCTCAATGTACCATCTTTGTGGTTTTCTCACTCTGATTCGCTTTAATCGCCTCTTATACGCACCTTCCATTGTCGCTTTCATCCTCTTTCTTTCTCTCTCATTCTCTCCGTCATCCTCTCGGCTACTTCTCTGAGCCTCTCAGTCTCATCCCATGTTGCCCATAATGTATTTGTAATTATCGCTTGTAAATGTCTCCCAATTTTACAATCTCTCATTTCCTCTCACCACTCTCTTCGCTCCCGTTCACTCTCTCCCCTGCTATCTCTCCCATTCTCTCTCCTCAGCATTTCTCATCCTCTCTCCCATGCATCTCTCATTCTCTCTCCTCTGCATTTCTCATCCTCCCTCTCATGCATCTCTCATCCTCTCTCCCCAGCATCTCTCGTGCTCTCGCCTCATTGTCTCTCACCTGGGACGGCAGAGGAGAGACGAGGGGAGAGTCGGCAGGCGGGGTGGCCACGCAGAGTCTAAGCTTTGCCTCGAGCCCGAAGTGGAATATAAAGCCCCCAAACCCCACAAGCCCACAGGACACGCGCTGTTGGGATCAAGGCGGTGCTGGCGAGGGGGGAGGGAACACCAGGAGAAGGGCGAGAGAGGAGGGGGACACCAGGAGGGGATGGAGGAGGAGGAGGTGGTGGATGGAATGGGAGGTGGGTGAGTGAGTGCGTGCGTGCTGTTGATGGTGGTGTTAAGTTCTTGGTTTATTCTTGGCTAGGAAGGAGAGATACGTTTTTAGTTGAGGGGTTTAGGAGTGTGTTGGACGGTGGTTGGGTGGGTGGTGGGGGGTGTAACAGAGATGATGAGGCGGCTGATGAGGGTATGTGGGTCGATGAGTTGCGCTGGGAGATGGATGGTGGGAATGTGTGGGGCGATGCGAGAGGCAGGGATGTGTCCCGAACATTCCGTGTGCGCGTGTATGTTTACGCGCGCGTGCGCGTGTATGTTCACGTGTGTGTGCGTGTGCGCGCGTGCGCGTCGTACGTGCGCGTGTCCCTGTCGTTCAATCGATAAGTCGTCCTCCTCCCTTAAAAGTCGCTGAGCAAAGCGCGCGTGGTGGGGGGGGGGACTAATTATACAGGCGTTGACTTCAGCACAACTTTGCGAGCGTCTCTGACCCTGCGTTTGGGGTAAGGCACGGATCGCGGATTATCGACGGCGCCTTCACATCTGCGGCGGGATCGTCGCTGCACAGAATTACCCAGAGGGGGTCACCCACTTCGTGTCCTATGCGCCGGGCGGGTCGCATTCATCGCGCGCGCGCGTGTGGTTACTACGGGCGCTGGGTTTCAATCCACTGCTGGATGAGCGCGACTCACCACACCTGTGCGGTGGTGGGGAGAGAAGCGGCGTGGGGGAGTGATGTGGCCACACGTTCACCACACAGGGCGGCAGTGCTGGTTATGTGAAGGCGGGGAAGGACTTCGTTGCTTTCTCGATGTTTCCCAGAACGCTGCCCCAGGGGGGGCTGGCTTAGAGTCTGGATCTTATCGGCGTACGGCGCTGCGAGGCACACAGCCTCTCTCCAGAATCATTGGACGTGATTCCGAGAATCCGATGATACGGCAAGGAGCACGGGGATGAAATTTGGCGAGATGGTCGAGACGTGCCGATACAATTCCAGAAGCAGCCCCTCCGGACCTGTTCTGGATGAAACTAAAGCACTCCGTACGCTCAGCACGTCCCTCAATATCACAATGTGGCTGTGGAGAAAAACTATACATAAAAGACGACGTTTGGGGCAATAGACCTTCTTCATAGCACAGAGATATAGAGAGGCCAGATTTATCTATTATGTATCCACTGCATCGCTCTCTCTGGCCTATCTATCTCTTTGCTATTATATATATTTACTTTTAGGGCCACAGTAGCTATCGACACATGATGTGAGTTTATTGTTGTTTGTCAATTGTGTTTAGACACCACACTGCCAACGCAGCCGCAGCCGCAGCAGCATCGCCAAAGTGTTTGTGTAATCCCGAATGACGAGTGGATGATTGTTGCAGGTGGTGATCAAGAGGCGAGGGGAGGTCATGCGCTGGGAATGTAACGAGGGGAGGGCGCGTCGGGGAGGTTCTACGAAGGGGCAGAACAAGAAAGTGGAGGATCCTCTTTGTGTCTGGTTTGGAGGAGAGGCCCTGGGTGGCCAATGGAGACCAACTGTGGATGAATGTTATAATTAGTGTCCCCGACAACCCTTTGCCAATGGACGACTGGGCGAGAGCCTGCTCACGCCGTGTGAGCTGTGAGGTTTCTTTGACTCTAACTCGCCCCGCGCATCCCCGCTCAGCACGGTTGGCTACGTACGGTGCGTAAGAAGTTCAACATACAGACATACATACGCAGCGTGGTCAGCGCGGGTTCGTGAAGTCGGTGATAGAACGTGGAAGGACGCACGGCACGGTTACCCACCACGTAGACCCAAAACCTCAAAACGACCGCTGTCATGCACGGTGATCAACCCCATCCACGTCGTCGTCCCCTTCTCTTCCGAGATCTCGCGAGTTGACCGTGCCTGCCATTCCGGATGGTTGGGATGAGCGACGCAACGGCGCTGCGAGCACCGAGCGGTTCACGAATCGCAGTCGTCACTGATGTTAGCCGTGCGGCTAACCTCTGTTGTCCTTACCCCGCACCCGCGATCAGCACGGTTGGCCTACGTACGCTGCGAAAGAATTTCAACAGACATCCGTGCATAAGGACTGAGAGTCCTCGGCTTGACTCGGTGTGGTAATAAAGTGGCGAGAGGAACGCAGTGGCCTGGAACGAGTGGCGTGAGCATCACGGAGTTGGGGTTATATTGCTCGCGGTCATTAACTCGGCGATGTTTGTGGCTTTCACTTCGGCACCACCGATGTTGGGCAACCGACGTCGCCGATGGCAGTGGGCGTTGCGTTCTTGGCTTGGCTCTGGTGCAAGGAATGAAATGTTCGAGTCTCCCTGCAGCCCTGCCCGCCGAAGGCTCAAACCGCTTGGCTTCCGAGATCCGACGGGATTTGGTTCCCTCGGCGTGCAGTGTTTTGCAGCACACTTTCTGCTTTTGTTGTTGTCAGAATGACAGGGCTGTTGTGAGCAAGGTCACATTTGATCTCAAATTGTCGTCATGTCTACTATTCGCTAGTCTACTTTATTTTAATGCGAGAATTCCAATTTACCTACGTATTAAATTCGTGACCTACGACCCCGTGAACGACGCTGACCGCGCCCGATCTTGTCGGATCTCGGAAGCGAATCCACATCTGAGCCCGATTCGTCCTTGGATGAGTGGCCGCTCCGGTTTAATGCCAGGTGTTTGTCAACACGGTGGCTATGAGATGTGAACTACCTCGCCCGGTATACAGGAGGTCGTGGCTTCGATCCCGACCCTGACGCCTGCTGCTGTATATTTGGAGTTTGCGTGTCTCACTCTCATCATCATCACGGTGGCGAGGAGATGTTAACTACCTCCCCCGGTATACAGGAGGTCGTGGCTTCGATCCCGACCCTGACGCCTGCTGCTGTGTATTTGGAGTTTGCGTGTCTCACTCTCATCATCATCACGGTGGCGAGGAGATGTTAACTACCTCGCCCGGTATACAGGAGGTCGTGGCTTCGATCCCGACCCTGACACCTGCTGCTGCTGTATATTTGGAGTTTGCGTGTCTCTCGTCCCGTGGTTGCGTGAATTTTTATCCTGGTCCCTCTGGTTTTTCCCTCCACATTTAGAAACGTGCGTCTAGAGTTGTTGACATGATGCTCCACTTCGCTGGGCTATCACTTGCGGCCAGTTCGCTTCTGAAAAATAACTATATAGCTCAGTGGACCTTACTTCGTAAATAAATATATGTTGAAAGTTTAATGGTTTTAGTTTCGTAAGGCATGCGGGCCGCCAGGTGTGACCAGGAGATAGCGATGTTGAATGTTGCCCCCCCTCGTCTGCAGAGTGTGGGTTGTTCCGCAACGGAGGTTTGGGCAGGGGAGCGCAGAGTACTTTGTCTCCGTATAAATATATGTATATTGAACTTCTTTTGCACCGTACATAGCCAACCGTGTTAGTCGGAGGTGTGGAGGAAGGACGACAAACTACACACTAAAAGCAGTTCTAAAGAAATTACGCTTCGATGTAGATTTACAAATGCATAGCTCCCAGTTGCTTCCTGATATCGGAAGGAAGAGCGTTCCAGACGGCCGCAGAGAAGCGCGTCTGAAAGCGGTGACCACCGCCTTTGTTCAAAATCGGTGGTGTAAACAAGCTGCCCTATTTGGGAAGCGAGGGCGTGGGGTGGAGGGGTGGGGACTTTCATTCTCTGAATGGACACGAAAGTCTCTGTGAAACGTTGCACGAGGCCTCTCGCAAGCGGCTGGAGAGTGGCGGGGCAGTGGTTTGCGTGCGTTCTCGGCCACGTTAGTTTCCGTTCAGAGCATCTGAGTGATTCTCTCTCTCTGTGTCTCTACGTGTGACAATGCGGCTGCTATTCTGAGCTATTGTGGGTGACAACAATAATGCAGCCGCGTGTCTCATTCTGCTCATCGCGAGTGAAAGTGGCATTGCTCGCGCACCCTAACGCGCGACCCCGAGACCGATACGCTCATTGTACGCGACTGTTGCACTTGACAGCTGTCTCGTCGTTCGTGCAGTCATCTCAATCATCGCCGACCGCCGGCAACGCCGCCTGTTTCATGCATATCACCTGTTCAGCGCAATCCTCATCGGCACCACCACATCTCCGTTGTTGATTTCACGAAAGTAATCGGTTGGGTGCAATTGCCATCACCACCATCAGCTGGGTTTAAGCCATGCGCATCCATTGTTATATGAATATTTTATGATTATAGTCAAATAAAACTATACAAAAAAACACATTAACTTTTTATTTCATTTTACCAGATAAGGCCCACTGAGCTATACAGCTCTTTTTCAGACGCGACCTGGCCACAAATGTTAGCTCGATAAGACAGAACAACGGGCGGATTAGAATTCATACGCAGGCCAATGCCCCGATTCAAAGTGTGAAGAGAAGCGAGTGGGCTTGGGCAGGACGCTTCCCTCGTCGACAATAATGATGGCCGTTGATCAAATAATAATAATAATAACGGAGCAAGACAGCCAAGCAGGGACTGAAGGCGTCTGAGAGGCTCGTTCACCGAAGAGATTTGAGCGAATAAATCCTCCCCCGCACGCGCGAGCGCTCAGGTGTCGTCCTGTCATTCTTAAGAGCCCCCGGGGTTCTTGTGACCCACATGGATGGAAACGTCGAGACCCATTCCTCCTCGACCGCAGAGGTAAGCGGAGGAACTGAACGAGGCGATTGGCAAATCCCCGTGCACGCGTAGCATCTTCCATGGAATTGGTAAACAAACCGCCGAGAGGCTCTTTAAATAAACCCGGCCGGCTCAACGAAGCGTCAAGCCTCTTAATCCAGTTTCAGGCTGTGGAATAACACCCCTCGCCATCCACATAATCAACACACGCCGTCGTCGATCCACTGCTAGATAAAGGCCTCCTCCCCACGCCGTCGCCTTTTGGTTGCTGGTCGAGCCGCTATTCTATTCAACGGCGATCCGCGCGGAGGAGCTGCTCTCATTGCTCCATCTCCGCGTCGGGGCGTCCTTTCGGGCGTCTTTTCGTCGTCGTTACTTTCGCTGTTATTCCGTCACCAGGAGTGGCGTAACGAGCGTGGCGGCATGGGGCGCTTCCCCCCCCCCTCTCCCCCGGTG